TTCACAATTGCCATTCTTAGTGTAAATTTTAGGGTCAAATTGACACCTATTTTCTAAAAATCCTATGATTTGTTTATTAAAACCAAATTTTTATCTATTTTGAGAGATAATTTTTGACTGTTCATTTTGCAAATTTTGTTCATCTTTGAGTAGTATTCATTTCAGTGCCAAGTATATGGGGTATTTCAAGCTCCTAAGAAATGGAAAGACGAAAGAAAGGCAAGGAGGGAGGGAGGAATAAACAATGACTCATGAAAAACTTCCCTGAGGCTTCAAAGAAACCCAACCTATAACACTAGTGTAGACATGCAAAGAATGATAAGTGATTATCTGAATCAAATAAAAACAGAAGAATTTTAAACCAAAGCAAAAGAGTTTTTTAAAAATCAGATCAAAGAAAAATAAATAAAACCTTTATATTGGTGTTCAGGGAGTTGGTTAAAAATGTACCTCTTTGGCTAATACAAGATTGTTGTTGATTGCCATCGAATCCTGGGGACCCCATGTGTTACAGAGTACAACCGCTCCACAGAGTTTTCTTGGCTATAATTTTAATAGAAGAAATCACCACGCCTTTTGTTTGATAGGTGGTTTCAAACCACCAACCTTTAGGTTAGTAGTCAAGGGCAAACCACCTGTGCCACCAAGGGTCCTTGAGGTGGTTGTTGATGTGTGCTGTCTAGTCAATTTCCTGACTCACAGCAATCCTACATGACAGAGTAGAACTGCCCCCAGAGGGTTTCTTAGGCTGCAATCTTTATAGGAGCAGATTATCAAATCTTTTCTCCTGCAGGGCTCCTGGGTGGGTTCGAACTGCCAAACTTTGAGTTTGCAGCTGAGCGCTTAACCATTATGTCACTAGGGCTCCTTACCTTCAGGTTAGAGGTCATGAATTTAAAGTGAGATCAGTCATCCTGGTTATGTGTTTTCCCCCTCACAGTCAACTCTGGCAGATAATTTTATTTAATCAGGTTGTATGCAAAGTAGTGATTATAATGATGAACCATGGAAACTAAGCTAACTCTGGAGTGAAATATTGCAATTTCCCTTGGTCCCCTAAAGACCTACCTCAAACTATGCATTCACCAGTTCCCTGTCCTACTTTCTCCCTATTACCTAAGGCAAAGCCCCATCTCTTACATTGTCAGGTTCCATCAAACAAGGCTGTCCTTTGACCACCTTTAAGGCTTTTATCTTACATCAAAGAGCATATTTTAGGTTAAGGGTTAATTACTCAATTAGCACAGTACATGATTTTGGGTTTCACAAAACTCCATCTCTACATAGTGCTGGTGTCTACCTCAACTTAAGCATGTCCCTGAATTTCTTGCCATTGGTACTTTCAAGCAAAGATAGGTTGACCATTTGTACTCAAAGGAATTTTTATAACAAATAAGAAGTCTGATTAGAAAAGCCTCAGAGTTCACTGAAAATATAGATAGTACTCAAAACTATGATTATCAAAATTCTAATTAAATAATAGGAATTTTTTATGCAATGTATTTTTATTTTTAGCCTCTAGATAATATAAGCATTTATATTTTCAATCTTATTATCCAAGGCCCTTGATATTTTTTAAATTTAACTTTTTTATTCTGAGATAATTTTGGATTGATACGCACTGTAACAAATAACACAAAAAATCCCACCAGTTTTGCTCAATGGTAACATCCTGCAAAACTATACTACAATACCACAACCAGAATATTGATATTCATACAATCAATACAGAATTTTCCTCACCACAAGGCTCCCTTGTGTTGCCCTTCTACCCTTGAATAGCTACACTTACTTCCCTCTTGCCCATACACCCTCCTTAACCTCTAGTAATCATTTCTGTAATTTTGTCATTTCTAAAATGTTATATAAATGGAATCATGGAGTATATAACCTTTAAGATTGGCTTTTTTTCACTCAGCATAATTACCTGTAGATTATCCATGTTGTAGCACTTATAAATAGTTCATTCTTTTTTATTATCAAGTCGTATTCCACGATAAGGAGACCTGGTGGTACAACAGTTTAGCACTTGGCTGCTACCTGAAAGATTGGCAGCTCAAACCCACCCAGTGACTCCACAGGAGAAAGACCTGGTGATCTGGTTCCATAAAAATAACAGCCAAGAAAATTCTATGAAGTAGTTCTACTCTGTCACATGGGGTCGCTATGAGTCGAAATTGACACAACAGCACCCAACAACAACAATATTCCATGATATGGATTTACCACAATTTATTTAACTATTCACCTACTGATTGACATCTGAGTTGTTGCTAACATTTGACTATCACAAATAAAGGTGATATAAACATTGCTGTATAGGTTTTTTGTGAAGAAAAGTCTTCTGTAATAAATGCCTGGCTGTGCAAATATTGGTCCATATGATAGTCACGTATTTAGTTTTTTAAAAAAACTTCCCAATGATTTTCCCCAGTAGCTGTACTATTTTACGTTCCCACAAGCAATGTATGAATGATCTAGTTTCTCTACATCCTCGCCAGCATTTGATATTGTCACTATTTTTTTTCTTAATTTTCACCGTTCTGATAAGTGTATAGTGATAGCTTACTGTGGTTTTAATTTGAATTCCCCTAATCACTAATGATGTTGAACATCTTTTCATTTGCTTATTTGACATCTGTATGTCTTCTTTAGTGAAATGTCTTTATACGTCTTTTGCCTATTTTCTAACTGGATTTTCTTGTTGTTGTTTTTTTCTTTGTTTGTTTTTTACTGTGAGCTTTGCGAGGTCTTAATATGTTCTAGATACGATTCCTAGTTGGAAATATTTCCTCCCACATTGTAGCTTGTCTTTTCATCCTCTTAAGAGGTTCTTTCTCAGAACAAAAGCTTTCAATTTAAAGGAACATCAATTTATCTTTTTTTTTTTTCCCTTTTCCAGGTCATGCTTTTGGTGTCAAGTCTAAAAACTCTTTGCCTAGCTCCAGATTTCAAAGATTTTCTTTTTTTTTTTTCTAAAAGTATTAAATTTTTACACTTTACTTTTAAGTCCATGATCCATTTTGAGTTGATTTTTTTATATGGTATGATTAGTTGACAGTCATTGTAGATTGGATTTCAACGGATTTTCCCTCATATTTTCCTCTATTGAATAATGCTAGGATAATTCTCTTTCTACTTAATTCTTTACCTATAGTCCTGATTTCTTCCATTAAATAGATTACTAGAAAGTGAATTACTGAGTGTGTTTGATAATTTTAAAGGTATCAATAAATATTATCAAAACTGTTGTCAGACTGCTTCTCTAAGAATTTGTGTCAATGTATATTTGCTGGATAGTGTAGAAAAATGCCCAAATCACTGTGTCTTTGCCAATTATAAGAAACATAATAAAATAAGAAACAATTTACAGGAGCACACTATAGAATTAAAATACTAATTTCCTTTAAACAACAATTATAATAGAGTTTCTTTTCTAAATAAAACTCTGGCCATACAACAGTTTGATCATCTATAAATGAGGGACCTTAGAAAAAAAAATCATCTAATTTCTCTGGATCATGGTTCTCATACCCTTAAAATGAGAGATTTAGACTTAGTAAGCTGTAAGGGCTTTTTAAGTTTGAAAATTACATGATCCTCCTTTTAATGCCATTCAATTGTTCACATCATGACAGAGGGTCATGGCTTATAGTCTGCCTATTCCTTAATCTAATTTAGACGACACAGGTGTCCTTCCAGAGACCTCTACTAGAAGTGTCATAGAAAGCAAAGCTCACAGAACTGGAGAAAGGAAAACTGAATTCCAAAACTAAGTCTGCTACTAAATGGCTAAACGATCTTCTCAAGTCATTCTATTTTTCTGTGTTTCCCTGTTTTTTTGTTTCATTCAAAAAACTTTGCTGGGTGGTTAGTGACAGAAAAATAAAAATAAACAAGCACACACAGATGCTCAGCACACACACACACACAAACACACACACACACAAACACACACACACACAAACACACACACACACATACATACACTCACAGCACAGTTCCCATTCTCAAAGAGTTCATAATATGGAGAGGAAGAGAGAAATAGATAAAAATAAACTAAAATCATAATACTATATAAAACAGTAATCCAAAGTACCGTAAGAGTCAATGTCAAATAAGCTGCAACTACTAACTATCTCACTGAATAGGCTTGTTTGGGAAAATCAAGTAAAATACATGAAAGAAATTGCTTTCCAAAATTAAAGGTTTATGTACCCCTAAATGGCAGTTTGAATACTGCCTTCAAGGTTGTACTTTTAACCACTTATGGCCTCACAGTCCTAGCTCTGTATTCACCTCATGGGCCCAGTGTAATAAAGTTCTAGGAATCTGTAATCTCAGAGAAACACTCTTTGCTCCTGAGTCTCACCTGGAAATGTTAGACATTCATATTTAAAAATGGATCTGTTCACTCAAAAACATATTTTTTCAAATAGTTTAGATACTAGTATACCCTTTCTTTAGGACTCCTGGTGGCGCAGTGGTTAAGCACTCAGGTGCTAACCGAAAGGTTGGCAGTTCAAACCCACCAGCTGCTCCATGGGAGGAAGATGTGGCAATCTGTTTCTGTAAAGATTTACAGCCTTGGAAACCCTATGGGGCAGTTCTACTCTGTCCTATAGGGTCACTATGAGTCGGAATCAACTCGATGGCAATGGGTTTGGTTTTTTAGGATTTTATACCCTTCTTCAGTCGTAGTATATGGAACTCTTCCATATCATTGTGTTACTATACAAAACAACTGTAAGAGAAATTTCACAGATTTTAAGAAAAAAAACTGGCACCACACTTAATTTAAATGCATTTAAGTGTTTCAGAAGATATTTTTTTAAAGCAGTAAAATTAAACATTCTTTTGAGATTATTCAAACAAAGTATTTTAAAAATCACAGCTGTATTTCATATTTAATTGTATTTCTAAGTAAATGTAAAACTTTGTTTTACAATGTGTGAAATGAGATAATTTTCAGCATGAAATCATGTATCAGTGGTACTTACAAAGCAGTTCTTATCAGGGTTTCTTTTCCAATGCTTCTTGTCTAATTTTTTGGCTGAAGTAGAACGTAGAGTTGCATGAGTCTGTATTCGAGGATTTAAAGCCAGGATGCTCTGAAGACAGTATATAAAAAATACTTATGTAAATATATTAGCATTTTTTTTTAAGTCAACATTTTATTTACATTTTAAAATCCCTCCCACAAAGACAGGCTTAGCTGAGAGAGCAACTCTTATGCTACATTACAGGGGAAAAAGAAGACTACATGTGATCAAAACAAATTAGAATAATGACCTAAAATTAGCAAGATGGTGTTTGCTAAGAAAAGTGAGAAAATTTGTACTTGGTTAAAAATAATAAGTCCAGTATGAGCAAATACAACAAAAATTCATATATAAAAGAAGGACCAAATTATTTTTAGAACTAAAAAATTATTTTAAAAAATAGCTAAACATAGGGTATGAATTACAAAAAGCTCAATGTCCAAAATATGATAAGGCTCTTCAAATAGTTACCTTAAAATACATTAATGAGTTATATGAGACAAAATATGACTGAAATAACTCCAGTTATGTTTTCCACTAACTTGTTAGAATCAGTTCGTGGCAAAAATCAATTCTTTGAGGAGAGCAAGCATACAAATAAACATGAATGGAAACAACTGTACTTTGACCACAGTAGAGGAATCAAAGTTATAAACGCTTCAACCGAATTCAATTAACATTTTTTCCAAATATTTTTAACCACCTTTACATGTTGAAAAGCAGTATGTGTAATGGCTAAAGAAAAACCCGGGGAAAGGCGATTTAGAAGAAACACAGAAGTTCTCGATAACTGAAGAGCTTTCACATAGAAGAGATTTTCTACTTTTTTCTATCAGTAGAGAATACAGAAGTGAGACTGTAGAAATTAAAGAAGGGTAATTTGGATTCAGATACAAATAAATGAATGGCAGCTAAGATTTTATTAGAAATCACACTAGCCAACTTTATTGTGTTCATTTTCAATTAGACAGGAAGGCTTTCCTGTCTAATCTAGATCAGTCTTTTCTGTTCTAGACCACTCAAACTTATCTCTACCCAGACATACCAAACTAAACAGTAACTGCCACTTTATGAATCTTTTTTCTCTCCTAAACTATAAATATTTTGAATTGAGGGATAATAATTTTTTTAAATCTTTGAGTCTCTCATATGCAGCACCTAGTACATGGCAGACGCTCATGCCTTAAAATAAATGGTTCAAAAATTGTACACTGAATTTTAACTGCTACTTGTCGTATAACTTTGAGTAAACCACTATTCTTCCTGATCTTCTGTTTCCCCACATGCAAAATGGTAAACACCAGTATCAGGAGATTATAGTGAAGAAGAAATGAAGGGAGTGATATGACATGCTTTCTAAACTATAAAACACCAATGATTAAAGTGGACTCAAAATGAAATCAGAGGCTACGTGCAACAGTAATTCTCTATGACTTGTTCATGCAGGGCTGAATAAGAATTTGCAAAAATCCAGAGAATGAAATTCCTAATAGGTTTGACCAAGTCTGTGATCACTTTCCAAATATGGATTCTATGATGCTATGAAAATTAATGGATCATGTTCCTCTGAAAATGAGTCTTCACTGAGATCCACAAAGAACTATCAAAATGACCAAAGTAAATGATTAGATAAAATGAATTATTATTAGAAATATATTAAAAGTGTTTTCCCCTTCTACTATTGCAATCCTACAATAAACTTATCTAACGTAATTGTTTGCTAGTAATTTTTTTTTTAATTAATAAACTTACTTATCATAAAATTAGCTAGGATATTAATGACTACAGGAAGGATTTAAAAATCATATAAACTACAGTAAATGACTGCGATAAATTTTACGCTCAGTATTCTTAGATAAAAGTAAAATCAGAAAAGAGAAACTTCAATTCATTCTGCATTTGATTTAAACTGGTAATAACAATATCCTCCACTTTAAGTTTTAGAGTTTACAAAGTGCATTCACATGCATCTTCTAATTTAACTTACAAACAGCAATTATTATATCAATGTTTTGGATGAGCAAGTAAGTTAAGGGTGGTTCAGTAATCTGAAGATCTCACAGCTAATACGCAGAAGGGACTGAATTAGAACTCAGTTTTTCTGAGTGTTGGGCTATTTTCAAATCCATCCAAAGATGTTTATAATGAAATGTGAGGTACAGTGTAGAAGGGAAAACCTTTCTAATCACTTGTGGTTAGCAGCCAAGTGCTTTAACCACTGCACCACCAGGGCTCCTTATAGTTACCATATGACCCAGTAATTCCACTCCTAGATATATACTCAATAGGCATTAAAATATTTGTCCATGAAAAAACATGTACGTGAGTGTGCACAGAAGCAGTATTCATAATAGTCAAAAAGCGGAAATAATCCAAATGTCCATCAACCAGTGAATGAATAAATAAAAAGGAATGAAGTACTGATACATGCTACAACATAGATGAATCTTGAAAACATCATGGCAAGTGAAAGAAGCCAGCCACAAAAGATCGTTCATACATTAAAGTATTCCATTTGCATGAAACGTCCAGAATAGACAAATCTACAGATACAGAAAACAGATTAGTGGTTGCCTAGGATTGAAGGTTTGGATAAAATGAAAAGCCACTACTAAGACTATTAAGGGGTATGTAGTTTCTTTTTGGTGTGATGAAAATGTTCTAAATGTAATTGTGGTGATGGTTGCACAACTCTGTAAATACACTAAAAACCACTGAAGTCTACACTTTATATGGCTAAATTATATGGGACATGAATTATATCTCAACAAAACTCTTACCAAAAAAATAATCACTAAATTTGACATTCAGCGGATTTAGGAATATACTGTATTCATTCTAATAAACATTACTGGGACTTGCTTTACTAGACTAATATAAATAAGGTTACTTTTTATAATTTCTGTATGTGGCAATCATAATATTTCTGTAATATATCAAGTGGATTTTTGTGTCCACCAGACAGCAAATACACTATAAAGCTATAACTTTTAAATGGATTACACCTTACGATGAAATAATGCCAAAGCAACCCAATAACAAGAGCCAATATTAGAAAATCCAAGCAATCTCATTTTTATAGAAAAAAAATTTGAAACTATTTAAATGTTCAATCTTGAACCATTACCAATCTCATACATTAATTAAAACCAATAAATAAAAAGATGGCATTTTTTTAAAGGTAGTTACTCTGCCAACATTTAAAGCAGACAACTGGGTAGCATGTAAGAAAGAAGGCTGCATTTTATTTTAGCTTTTACTTCCACAATTCATACTGTGATAAATGATTAGATTTATCTATGTAGGCATAGTAATGTAACTTTTGAGAATAAACATTCTGAATGCAATTTACTGGCTGCTTATCACAGTAACTTTTCTTTCACATAGCATAAGTAGAAAGTATAACATAACATGAAATATTGGGTTAACCTTTTGCGAAAAGGCACTGAGCTGAATTCAATGGATCTTGGGGGAAAAATAAATTGGATTGCAGAGATTGGTTACCAAGGATTTGACTTAATAATATCCCAAATGAAAAGTGATATGAAATAAAAATACAGGACATGAGTGGTTGAGAGCTGTTAAAAACAATTTTCTAAAGCAAGACTTTTTAAAACTAAAAGTCAATATCATCAATATCTAAGCAGCTGGCAGAATAATACAGGACAGTTCTAAATTGCATTCTTCCTAAGAAATGGCCAAAGTCAGGTCCTAACAGGGTCACAGGGTCTACTCTCTGGATAAATTGAGCACTTTAAGAGGTCCGTTAACCCTTTCTGATGTAGGGGGGGAGATTTTCTCTCATCCAAATAATTTGGCCTTTGGCTTTCCCAATCATTTTTAGTAACACAATAAAGATGTACTGGTGATTCTTGAAGGCAAAAAGACAGAATTTTAGAAAATTTAACTGCACTAACTTTATTTAGTTTTAGCAATGATAGAATATCATCCAGAGCCAAGTATACGTGAGATCAAATCAGTTACACCATGTTACCACTTTGTAAACACTATTCTGGGAAGCAGTTGGCATGATGCAACATACAAACTATAATTCTGCATTTGAGGAGAGTTTCTCCACATAACCACAGAGAGCAGATAGGGAAGCTCATATTTACTATAATCACAGGCCCTCACCACAAAAAAAGCCCTAAATCTTAGCCCTAAAATACTAGAAACCTCAGTATTATTAAAGAGCTTAAATTCTAATTGCAGTAAGTCACTTGGCCAACATGTCCTAAAATGTGGCTTTTTTTTGTAATATCACAATATTGATTATTCAAACATCATGCACCATTTAGCTTCCTTTACCCTTTACATTTGCAATCATAAACAAATGTTTCCAAATCAATACTGGTCATTATTTACCATAATTCTGAGCCATTAAAATGATACCTATACACTGAAATTTTAGACATAAAATCTATAACTTCAGTTGATGCATTAAGTTTTGTCTTACTTAAATTATGCTTAAATTTTGTCTTGGATGGCTTATCCTGAGTCATCTATAAGTTGCCTCCTACTTTCCCTAGCATCAGGTGAAAAATCAAAACAAAACAAACGTTTTTCTCATTTGACATCCTGGGGTTGTGCAAATGGTTAACATACTCGTCTGCTAACTCAAAGGTCAACAGTTAAAAGCGCACCCAGAGGTGCTTCAGAAGAAGGCCTGGAGATCTACTTCTAAAAAAATCTGCTATTGAAATCCCTACAGAGCACGGTTCTACTGTAACACACATAAGGTCACCATAAGTCAGAGTCGACTCAACAGTAACTGGTTTCTGGTTTCTCATTTTATCATTAAAAAAAAAAAAAAAACATTGCCATCGAGTCGATTCCAACTCATAGCGACCCTATAGGACAGAGTAGAACTGCCCCAAAGGGTTTCCAAGATCTCTTTATGGAAGCAGACTGCCACATCTTTCTCCTGTGGAGTGGCTGATGGATTTGAACCACTGACCTTTGACTTAGCAGCCAAGCACTTAATCACTGTGCCACCAGGGCTCCTTTTTATCATACTTGTGTGTGAATGCCTTGATTTCAATAGAACATATTTGCTATCATTTTTTTCC